CACACCACCACAACCCCTGAGTCCCCGTGTTTTAACACGGCGGGCGTGATTGCGGATGCCGTGCAGGTGCGTCCGCACGGCACCGCAGACCACGCCCCACCACAGATGTCTGTAAAGAAATCTATCAATTAATGTGCAGATTTTCACCAACTGATTAAACTGACAGTAAGTTACAGTTTTACATTTTGTTAAGTATATATAATAAAACATCAGCTCATACAAAGAGTCACAGGACAAAGACCATCCGCTGGAAGCATTCACCAAACTGCACAGCAGTCCATCCATTAGTACATTTTATGCTTTTAAAACCTGCTGCTCTGGAGCTGCACAAAAGTGATGAATGTTAAGATGAAAATTCATTCTTTTTGTTACATTTTGCTGTAAACGTTTCTTTAGATTAAACAGCTGTAAAAATGTCCGGCCTATAAATGTATATTTTAAAAAAAAACAACAGCAAAAAAAGTTCATCATAGCCTACTTCTACCACCTGACGCCTTGTTCTCATTTATTCTGGTGAATCTGTGTGATGGCATGGATCTCTTCCTGTGGATGAGAAATCAGAAAGATAACGCACATAAAGGCTTTTAGGATAGTAAAGGTTGCAGACCTGTTCTAGACAGGTTAGCATGTCCATCCCTTGAGCTGTGACACACGTTCATTTTACTGTATTTAACTGATTATTTTTTTTACCTGCAAACGTACTCACAATATACAGGAAAAGTATTTTTTCCTCCTTAATTTTGATGTATAAATAAAATATTTATAAACTGTTATATGTTTCCAGCAGATTGCAGTTGCGTCTCCAGAATATTTTTCATAGCAGTGGTCATGTGGAGTGTCACACCAAATACAGAATTTCCAGTTTTATTATAGTGTTGTCAAATACAGGTTACTTGAAAAATATGTCAAAAAGAGAGACAAGAAATATATGCCTAGTTAATTTAATGCTGTTAAAGTTGATAACACTGAAAAGCAAATAAGATTTTGAAATTCATAATAATCCATTTTAAGCAGGAATAAATAAGAAGTTAATGTTTCAACTCATTGTAGGGTGTCGCTCTCTTTTGCTCACGTTTATTAGAATTAATACCAGCATAGGGCAGTCTTGACAGCAGTGTTGGTCAAGTTACTTGAAAAAGTAATTAGTAACTAATTACTGATTACTTCTTAAAAAAGTAATCCTGCTACTTTACTGATTACTCATTTTCAAAAGTAATTAGTTACTTAGTAATTTTTTTAAAAACATGATACACAACCTGAATACGTAATAAAGCAACAGACCTTTCAGCCCAATTCTATTTTTTATGCATAATCCATCATATGAAATTGAATCAAATAGAAAATGTTTTATGAGTTTTAATCTTTTAATTTTATGCACACTGCATTAAGCAAAGATTTAACTATATGAAACAGTTTTTGACTTGTTTAACATTTAAACTTATTTTCTGCATAT